CTGATGAGTCAGTTTTCAGAAAGTTGTGTAATGTTTGCAGCTCTTGGCAAATTTTAAGTTGGACAAGCAGTAATCATGGCTCTCTGTTATAGCTGATCAAACACTGGGAGTTGGACTCACTGTTGTTTTCCAGGTGGGTTTTGTAGATGTCATCTGGGACTTTGGGTTCCATGATATCCAGCTGGAATAAACAAAACACTTTGTAGTAAATAAAAGTCAAACGTAATCAGATAAGGTGATTAGCACAGAATCTGATTTCTAACACTGGTCTTCAAATTCCTAGTATCATGCTGCATGTGATTTAAACTCTACAGATTTAAGGAGTAATATATCTCTTGGATGTAATGATAAACCTCTTCCCAATAAAGTACAAAGAAAAATGTCAGTAACTTTTTATAAAGCATGTTGCGGCCACCATCTCCTACCTCTCTAGCCAAGGCCAAGAAGTTGCTGTTGAGCTGAACGTTGGACATGATCTCTGTCAAGTCTTCGTAGTCTTCTACGTCTTCATTGAGCTCCAAAAAGACGCCGTGACGGCCCAACATGAAAGCCATCTGCTTCTGGATGATGCTGCATGAAAAGGAAACAAACTACGTATTTAGTACAAATCCACAAAGACAGGGAGGTTTCACAACAACAAGCTAATATAACAATTGCTCATGTGATTATAAGTTTTCCGTAGAATAGTTATATTTCAGTTGGTCAACAAAAAGTCCATTTTCCTTACATGTCTTTGCAGGATGTGAAGATGTTTTCAGCCAGCTCCATGTCATTGAGCATCAGGGCCAGCCGCAGAGCCTCTGGGTAACGGTTAAACTTTCTGAAGATGTTCAAAGCGCACCTCAGCAGGGCGGAGTTTTCTGGCTCAGGAACGTAACTCACACAGCTAAAACGAAGAAAAACAAAAAAGACATTAAGCCAAAAGTGAAGATGCATATTTCTAAACATCAACTCTGCGTTTTCTGAGCAATGGGTGCTAACCTGGTGAGGTACAGGCAGACTTTTCCGTAGGCGTTTTCATCGATGTAGTCCCCCAGCATGTCCAGCCTCTCGATCTCCATCAGTAGGTCGCACGCCTCATGCTCTGCATTGTGAGCCATATTGTAGGGCACAATCTCCTTCACCAGTTTGAGCAGAGTGTCCTGCTGGGCTTTGTCATTCTCCTCCACTTCCTGCCATTCTTTTGCCACCTCACCAGCAAGGTGCCTAACAGAAATGGGAGAGAATTTGAGAATAAGCACTAACCTCAGATAAAGCTAAATAACATTTTATCGACAAGTCATAACACAATTTTACGTAACTTTTAAAATGCTCCTTGTCTTGTACTCTATACTGCATAGAGAAGACTAGAGAAGTGTAAATAATTCAAGTTTTTAAATCTTGTTTCTCAGTGTTTTACTGAAGACTTTCTTGCCATATGTGCAGTGTCAAATATCTGATTAAAAATACATAAATATGTTGACATTAATATATGCAAGTTTACTAAAATTTACTAAAGAACAGATTGTTTTGGAACCACTGCATACAGAAAAAAATTAAACAGATGTGTTCTAACTCTTATTTTCTTCTTCAAAACAAAAAACACAGCTTGATTATTGACCCAAACAAATGCAACTGTGATTTCCAACATAATCAAGCAGTTCTAATGACTAACAGATGGATAGAAAAAAGAAAAAGCAAAAACAAACATGTCAAAATCTCTACATTTCGTTTATCTGAAGGTTTTTACATATGGAATGAATCATAGATTATTTATTTATTTACCTGACATATTCATGACCCCAGGAGGCCAGCTCCTCCTGAGAGCCCACCAGACGGTACTTCAGACATTCCCGCTCCCCGCTCATGGTCATGGCCAATACAGACACCACATCTGCACAGAAACGCTACAACAAAAACAGAAATAAATCATTTAGCCAAGTATGAAGATATCAACATCTGCAGCATCATGATGAAGAGCTGATATCATTGCCCTGTTCTTTTTTTTGTTTGTTTGTTTGGTTTTACACAGATAAATGCTACTATTTAACTTCATGCATAAGAGTTTAAATTAACTATATACTGGAATTGCTGTCACCGGTACTCTCCATCTCCTCTCACTGTTGTCAGCTTATTAGATGTTGAGCTTTACATGCAAAGTTTAATAGCAATAACAACCCCATTAAACAATCAGCTTCTATAATGCACACACGATCTGTTGGAAATAAGATCAGATTCCTGTGAAGATGCAAAGGAAGCAATAAGACTCATGTTTTACATGCAGCTGTTATCTCAAACCAACACTGAACACAACTGTGCTCATCGTCCCTTGGTGGTGGTGAAAAAAAAAATTTAATCACAAAAAGACAACGATTGGCATCATTTTGATGTTAGAATAAAAATATAACCTCACAGAAAGTAAAAACAAGGCTCACCTTGTTCTCTCCGGGGGTCATGCCCTCGTAGATTTCCTTTAGTTTGCCATAGTGTGGGCGCAGGAATTTCAGGGGCTTTGGTACGGAGGTCATGGAGGTGGTTGAGGAGCGGATTTGCCGCCTCAGCTCTTCTAGCGCTTGATGATGCAATGATGCGTTCTTCTCCTGTTGAGAAAAACAAGGAAGAAAATATTCTCAGCTGAAGATCTTATATCCTAACACACACACGCAGAAGAAAGGAAGTTTGCAACACTCACACTCAGCCTCTCCACCATCATCTCCAGGTCCTCTTGTAATTGCTTGTCTTCCTCTGACTGAGAAATTGTGACAAAATGAAAAATGTTGTCAAAAATTAAAGAAGATCATTTTACAAAAGAAAAGAGGCAATGATAGAAAAAAGCGTCACAATGGTGCATTCATGGTGCTAAGTACAGGAGAGTGACAACGGTCAGAAAAAAGAAAATGGATCCGGTCAGTTATAGATTTACTTAATGATAAGATAAAATAATTGAGCCTTCATCATTTTCTTAAGTTATCAGTCTAAAAGCACAAAAGACATAACAAATTACACCAATAACCAAAGCTGTGTTTTTACTCTTTATGGCTCTGAGAAGAAGCCACAAAAGAAGCTAGTACTACTTTTTAATTTTTTACTTTTCTTTAAAATAAAAAGTACTCCTGAATAAATGTTTCTCTTTCTTTTTTTGTGTGCATGGTCTGTATCTCAAAATGACATTTTCCTGTGAAAGAGTTTTCCTCTCCATTGTTGCTACATGCATGCTTAGTATTACAGACTGCTACAAACTCAATGACACTATGCAAGTAACTGGAATTGAAATGAATGTATGATTCGACTGATGTGTGGGGGGTTGACGCTACATAAATAAACTGAATTTGACTGAATTAAATTAACTCAAATAATTGCTCATCAGCAGCTGTACACCACTTCTACAAAAACAAGTTTTTGCAGTTTGCCATCTGTACCATACAGGTGTGTGTCAATAACATGCCTAGGAGATTGAGTGCTGCGATGCATGTTAATATAGCAAAAAACTTAGGTGCTACATCACAAATTCTGTGGACCAAAGCCAGCAAAGTCAGTAGAATGTAAAAGTTTAAGAAAGTGAACTAACAACAAAGTCTCTTCTCTATACAACACAAAAAGGCAGTATGACTGAGGTTTGCAAAGCTGCTTTTGAATCTACCACAACAATTTCAGAAAAATGCTATTTGAACAAATGAGATAAAATCAGAGATGTTTGATCATCATGCACTGAAATGTTAATGAAAAATAATCTAAAGTCTTAGAATTGCACGCCTATTGGATTATTCTAGTTAATAAAATAGTTATGTGAAATTTCTGATGAACATATCCGAGTTGACAGTAAGTGTACGTGGTCTATAAAACAGTAGACCACCCAATGGACTGAATATTTGTGGGTGACTTATCCAATTTTACCCACTAATCGGCGACTTTCATACGCCGTGGAGTTACAAGTCACACGTATGGAAACATATAAACAAAGCAGACTACGGTCAATGTGTTCAATACATTTAAAATCATTTGACACACAATTTAATTTAACTTATGATAAGCTTAATCACAGATGCAGTTCTGTCAATACGAAGCACATTTTGCTGTGGGGTTATTGTTTAGGCCCAAGCTGCTGTGTCATACAGTAAAGTTTAGCTAGTAGCGCAGCGAACACAGTAGGACGGATAATGCTAGGCTAACAGTAGCTAAAGGGCTTGAACTTCAGTCATTTGTCCTGTTAAGGCTGTAAGTACATACCAGTGTTAACATTTTAAGGGGTATGTTTACAATTCAGAAAACCAAGGGGTTTTAGATGGTATAATTAAATACCAGAGACTATGCCCCGCTATGTCGGTGTTGTCAAAGCGACGGTGACTAAGGCAAATATCTGCTCCAGACCCTGCGCTTATAGTTAGCACATTTTCAATGAATCACCACGCTCCCCAAACTTACCAGTTCTTGTTCCTCCTTCTTTTCTTTTTCTTTCCCAGGGGACTGCTGTCCCTTTTCCTTATCCTTGTCCTTCTCTCCCCCCTTTTCTGTAGGCTTATTATCTTTCTTTTTTGCTTCTTCCATGGTGGTAGCTATCGGTTAGCTAGGGAACTGTGCCGACTGGTAATTGACTTCTTCTGATAAGACGTCACAGCGTGTTTACCCTTGAGCGCCCCTGGTGTGCAGTGGAGAGCTGTCTTTGCTGCTTGTGCTACTTCACGTACCATAAAAATAGGAATTCACAGTGAATATAATGTTTACGTTCTTGTTTTGGAGTTTTCAATTTCATGAACAATTATTGCATCGATCGTGTAAAATTTGCTCAACATTTGACTCAAAGACTGAAACTGAAACCACTCATCACATTTTAACGTTTAATACACAACACACGTTAATAAGATAAAACAAGTACTTTTTGTACAAAAATACACGCAACTTGTTATTAGCTCAGGTGTCAGGTGTGTTCGAAAGTTGTATATTACTGACGTGATTTGTATGTAAAGTAAGAAGCTGAAAATTCCTACGTCTTTTGACAGTACATAAAGCAGCTGTAGTGTTTGTCATATGACTTCATTTTTATGGGTCACATGTTTCAGTCTGTTTCCTTTATTGTGTTTGTGCCATCATGGCTTTTGAAACGCACTGTTTTTCTCTTTGTAAAGTATTAGCACTCAGTTTTGCACTGTTCGGCCTTGTTTCTGTGGGAGAAGGTCGGTTCAAGGGCTTCAGGAAGTTTGATGTGGTGCAGGATTCCAGCTATGGAGCTGTGTCTGAGGAGCTGTGGTTCACCCAGAAACTGGATCACTTCAATGGTGGAGACAGCAGAGCTTGGAAGCAAGTAAGTCCAACTGCTGTCTATTCAAAAATATTTCACATTTTATTTATAAAATGAGCTCATGTCTTGTTTTGAGTGCAAGAGCTTACAAATGTTTTGTTCCAAATGGGTTTACCCCTTGAGCTTTTAACCTTAGCACAAATTAGTACGTAAACCATCAATTGAAGGAAAATGATCTTTATAAGGCGAGGGTTCAACTTCCAGTGGGACAACAACACTGTACTGTCAGAGCTGTAGTAGACTAATTTAGGGGTGCACCGATTGCAGGTTTTTGGACGATCATTGATCTTTAAAAAGCCTGACGATTTCCGATTTTGACTGATATATGTATTATAACTTTCAAAAAAATCACAAGATTTGAGGTCAGTTAAGGACAAACTAACAAAACCTAAGCTGCCAACAAATGCCAGCTTAGTTTAAATTGTCCTTATAGTTTAAAAAAAATAATGCCCAAATGGCATTTGCAAGATTCATGCATAAGATCGGCTTCACATGCAAGTGAAGCCGATCTTCACTTACGTGTGAAAAAATAAAGCACCTCACGCTTTTTGCTCTCTTTTTGGTCTTTTGGTGATTCATGACATGACAAAGTGAGAAAATATTCTACTTTTGCAAGGCAATGGATTGCAAAAGTATGCCCCTATGTCGAGGTTCTCACTCTCCACCTTTCCCCTTGCAGAGATACTTTGTAAATGAGGCCTTCTACAAGCCTGGAGGTCCAGTGTTTCTGATGATCGGTGGAGAGGGCCCGGCAAACCCAGCGTGGATGAAGGAAGGCACCTGGCTCACCTACGCTCAGAAACTCGGAGCCCTCTGCTTCATGCTGGAACACCGATTCTATGGGAAAAGTCACCCAACAACGTATGTTTGCTACTGATTTATTTGCATGATGTTGAGTTGGTGCGAGTTCCCCAGGTACAACATGAATCAGTTTAGGCTTCAATAAGACAAACACAGAAGTGAAATATAATCCACTTTGCTGAATGTAGCTGTACCAAAGAGAGCAAGCAAAATATGAGAAAGGAGGCTGATTATATTTAGATTATACAGTTTCCTGTTCAGTCACATGTTTATAACATCTGTTTATTGACCTCACAATTATTACCACCCCTGTAAAAGAATTGTAAAGAGAAATATATTTGCCAGTATGACATAGCTTCTTCTACTCCACATTGAACCTAAATTAAAGGTAGGATTTTTAATAACTTTTCAATGTTAGATTATGTTATTACAGTTAATGTTGGTGAATTTTAAGAGATTTTAAACATCTATACCAAAAGTTGCCAACAGATTTCTCCTTGTCTGTTTTGGGAGTTCTGACAAAACTTTGCACATAAAGGTGAACCTGCACAATCTACTTGATCATGAATAAGGTTCATGCAAATTCTGCTCCAGTCTTTTGTTTAAACGAGTGGTTCAGGATCTGTACAGTGCTTAATGCCAATTAATACGAGGTATTATTTTGCATAAAAAAATATGTTCATTTTGACAACATTGTAGCTATTTTCCCAATGTTAAAAAATACATAGATTAGATAATCTTTACAAAAATCTACAAATAAGCCATAAATGTAACTTATATTTTAAGTGTATATACTGCATTTGTTTTGATTTAGCTGGTTGCGCTACATGTACAGTTATAGAGACTAGCTTGATCAGATTCATTTTCTTACAAAATTAAACAACCAAACTGGAGAAAAGATGGCTGTAGAAAGCAATATTTTATCAACTACACCAGTAGGTGGTAGTCCTGCATTTAGATGTCCATGATGCATGCTTGTAGACTGAAGTTCAGGAAACTATAATGTAAATACACACACAGACGACTTTAAGATAATTTAGTGTTTAACTTCAAAATAAATTTTAGCTACCTCCTATTTTTGTCTTCCTGTGAGGCCTTGTTGTGCAGCTATGTGCACAGTGCATTTTGGTTTTGACTTAGCAGAAATAATCAAGGCTATTGGGAGCACATGTTGTTCCAAATTCTAATATTTTTCCCTTAATAAAATTTAGAAAACTACTTATTTTAACTCATGCTATTATTTTCTGGTATTAAAATTTGTTTGCCTTTCTAAAACATTAAGTGTAACATAAAAAAGCAAAAACAGTATATACATTTTCATAGCAGATATCTGTTTTGACTGTGCCATGATTTGTAAAGTTGTGCCAAACAGAATTTCAGATTTCCCCATTTGCCACAATAAAGGCATTGAAGTCTCTGTCTTGTTTGTGCATTTTTTTTTTTTTTAATTTGTACTGAGTTAGTTGACGCAGCTGCGAGTGTGTGACAGATCTCCCCTGGAGAATTGTCTGTTTTCAATGCAGCAGCAGCAGCTCTCCTGAAAAGGGCTTGAAGATCACAGGCATCCATGCTGCCTTTTACATCTGCCGCCTGCATCCAGAGATATTGTTGGATTCATTTAGTTCTCTGATAATCATACACTATAAAAAAAAAAAACTGCTTTTGTTGCTCTTGCAAAGTGGGTCTGAATTCTTATGAGAAATTTTCAACTTGTATACTTTCACTTCATGTTTGTGATTTTGTCCTTTAATTTTTACACTTGTTCTTCATTTAGGGACCTCAGCGCAGACAACTTGCGTTTCCTCAGCAGTCGCCAGGCTCTGGCTGACCTTGCACACTTCCGCACTGTGATGGGAGAGAACCGGGGTCTGACCAACAGGAAGTGGGTGGCGTTCGGCGGGTCGTATCCAGGTTCTCTCGCTGCTTGGTTCAGGCTCAAGTACCCTCACCTGGTGCATGCCTCTGTGGCCACGAGTGCGCCCGTGTTCGCCACTGTAAACTTTCCAGGTAAGAGGAGACGCCACATGGTGGGGAAGCTTGTAAGTACAGGCGCTATATGGCAGCCTTATTGCAGATGTTGACAAATCTATTGGCACCTCTGTGCCTCACTGAAATTATTCTTCATTTCTCCTGGAATGTGGTTCAGATTAATTAATCTATGAGAGGTGGTGAAGTAAAATTATGAGAAATTATGATTTAGAGTTTATTTTAAAAATAAATATGCACTTAAACACTACACTATGTACCATGTTTTAAAAACCTATTTGCCCCCCTTACAGAATTGATCTGTTTTTTTTTTTTGCTTTTGTGCCCCACTTTAAATATATCAGTTTACCAAACAAACTTCAGTGTTGGATAAAGAGAACCTGAGTAAAAGGAAGAAGAGTTTTCAGATGATGACTGAAGCCAAATGTACTGCTCTGTGTAAGCCTCAGTTGCAGTCATGGGTCCTCCAATAGGGAAAAAGTACCAAAACATCGTAATGTCTTAAATACCCCTTCGTCAATACAGATAATAACCTTATTGAAAATCAATTTCTATTCTATTCTATTCTGTATTTTATTGTGATGCAGAGAGATCACTTGCCATAAAATCCCAAATATTGCTATGACAACAAACTTGTGATATACTGTGCATCTCTAAAATTAACTTTTTCTGCTCAAGTCAACATCATTGCAGTGTAGGGCTGATATGTTAATAATTTTGTTATCTACTTATTAATCAGTTAATCTAAGAAAAGTGCTTAATTAGAGATATCTTTTTGTACTACAGAAGTTTGTCCAATTGAAGCTAGAACAATGCCACTTGCAGAGTTTTGAGTACAACATATTAAAGTTTTTTTTTTCTAATCTTAAATGTAAAATCTGTGTGTATGTATATATATATATATATATATATATATATATATATATATGTATGTTTTTGTACAGTTTGGGCTTTATTACTGCCCTGATTGCGTTCTTCTTTTAGCAAATTGCCTTTTTTGAGTCTGTATACTTCAGTTAACGATTGATCGATTGATCAATTTCTAATTTAGTTGACAAATATTTCAGTATTTTCAGTAATCAATTCACGATTAATCCTATGAATTGTTTCAGTACCAATCTTCATTATTTGTTAGAAATGAATACACAGTGACGCAAATAACTATTCAACTCAATCCATAATTAAAAGCAAAGTCTGATTTGTGTTGGTGTGCTATGTCATTTTTGCAGTTTGGAGTTGTATTCTTGTTCACTTGTATGTGTCTCTATGTGTAAAATTTGTGTGTTTATTCAGGCAACAAGCAGGCCAGTTTGTTTTGATTTCTGTGCAAGTTTCTGCTGGAGCTGCACAACAACCAAGCCTTCTAGACAAATCATGCACCTCTCTTTATCTGTGTGCGCCTTGTGTTTGGCTAAGCCTGTTGTTTTTCCTTTGAGACTGCAGATCAGAACGGACCCACTTCCAGGCACTTCCACCTACACACTCTTGCTATCTTTAAGACACTATTGCACACATTTGACTCAGTCCCTATGACCTGAAGGAAACGCTGAGATGAAACGCACCGAGAGCAGTGGACATCATGTTCTGAGGTTTAATTTTAGTCCCAAAAACGACACCAACAGAGGTGCTCAGCAATCCAGCAAAAATAACTTGTAGGGAATTTATTCATAAATCTGGAGTTCCACCTATGAGCTCTTTGACTTTCATAAATTGTAGAATTCACCCATCATTTCACTTTTGACCTCAATGAAACCTGATGCACTCTAATGCTTAAAAAAGGGTTTGGTTCACACACTGGTTTCAGAATGACTTGAGGCTTTTGCTTTGCCTCAGAAATAGCTCTCTGTTTTTAACTACAGCCGGCGCTCCGTATTATTGTGGTCATGCTGGTTTAAAGTGCTCTGCCTTCTCTCTGCCTTTACACTTTTCCAGAGTACTTGGAGGTTGTGTGGCGTTCGCTGGCCTCAGAAAATGCAGATTGTCCTGTGCTTGTGAAAAAGGCTTCAGATACCCTCGCAGAACGCCTGAAAGACCCGAAAACCTTTGAAAACATCACCAAAGATTTCAAGTACAGTGCATTTGTCATCTTAAACTCTATGCTCATCTGTCTGTAGTTCATGAAACCTGAACGGAAATATTTCTAGTTCAACTTCATCTACTTTGAAGGCTTTGTGCCAAAACAGGTTTGTCTTTTAATCAAGTTTGTTTTCAATATGTGAAGTGTTGCTGATGTCATCACCTACAGAATTGAAAACTGATCAATAAAGTAAGTAGAGATTCTGTAATATTCTATATAAAAGTAAAAAAAAAACTCATGAAAAGAAAATATCAGACATGTTCTTTTGCTCGTGATCGTGGCACTTAGCAAATAGAAACAATTTCGATAATTTTAACTGACCTGAAACAAAAAAAGTTTGGTCTGATTTTTAACATTAGGCATTGAGAAAAGAAGGTAATGTTTTTTTTTATTTTATGTATGATTTCAACTGTGCCTGTTAATTCAAATTTAAACTGCATCTTACATTGTGTCTCTTAAGGGTAACCTAAAATAAAAATATGTACAGTTAAGCCCAAGTTATTTGTGACCTGACATATAGGCTAAAAATATAAATTGTATACCAATAAAATACACTGACTAATTATGAACTAATTTTACCAACAAATTTCTTCTGACTCCTACTTCTATGTTTTTTATTTTAACTCAAAACTCACGATGTATTGAAAAGACTTTGTAATTTACATATTAGAATATTTTCCTTTAGCTTGAGAGGTTAGCATACTTAGCAAAAAGTCCCTTCACGATGAGTTTAATCAATTTTTCTCTAGAGTTAAAGTAGAGTTAGGGTGATTTTAGTGACATTGGCTATTTGATTCTTCATAGACTACAAATTACTCCAGCATCTATTGTCAGCATTTTTTCAGTCCCTCATTAGTTCATTTTCCCTTTGTAAACTTCTACTCTTTCAACTACAGTATCCTGTGCTATTTTAAAACCATTTTAGTTCGTGTTAGTGACTGTGAGGTCAGACCACACCATTAGCAAGCAGAGCTCAATGTCTTCTGTAATGGTGCGGTGTGCCCTCCTAAACTAATACGGTCATGGAAACGGAAGAAAACCGGTCTGACCACACGGAAAATCTCTTCTTTGAGCTTCTTGCAGACATGCTCTCATGCCGACAGTAACACACAAAGGTCACAGCAGTGGTCAGGGAGCCTGTCCAGCTCCCAGTCCGCAGTTACTTGCAGAACACAGCACTTGCGTCAAGACATAATTTTACACCGATAAACACTCAAAAAAATTGTTAGGATAAAGGATTTTTTTTTTGTCTTACCACTTAGCTAGCTCATGGTATGAAATTTGGACTCAGGACCCAGATCAGGAAAAATAAAAAGATTGCTCTTAAATTTAACAGCATAAAGTTGTAATTTTACAACCTACAGCTGTCTTCACAGATCTTTTGGCAGATAAACGATAACAAAATGTTAATATCCAGACCTTAGTTTTGTTCTCATTGGGAAAGTTGGACAGAGGTTCCCAAAGTGTGGTTCAGGGGCCGTTTGGAGCCATCACTTTGTCTTAGTACTTAGTGTGGACTGTAATTCAAGAATGCTGTATGTCTTGACCGCAACCACAGGGTGTTAATAAGAAGAGCACTTTTCCAGCGCGAGATATTCAAAAACAAATTTTAAATGGAAAATGTTAGTTATAACAACAAGCATTTGCTTTTATTAGTCATATTTATTTTTCCTCGCATTTTCATTTCTTAGTAATTAGGGACACAATTACTAATAAGACTAATAAAACAGACTGGTCGGCACCCATTCATTAAACTCGGCTAACTGCAGACTTTTACAGAAAAAGAAGCCCGTGTGCCTTTATTTGTCATAGTTGTAAACTTTTGCAGACCAACAAAACAGAAAACTAACTTTTGATTAAAAATAATTGGAAACTATATGCTTCTCTTCTAAAGGTCAACATGCGAAACCCTTTTTATAATTCAAGTCTCCAATTTTCACAGACCAATTTTCGACACAAATCAGACTATTCTGCTTTATTCAAATATTGTAGGTTTCGTTTATTGCTGAGGTGATTTTTTTTTTTATTATCTATTTTTACATTTTTAATTGGGAATGACTGTGTGTACTTCAAACTTTGTGACTTTGGCCAGTGGACCACACTGCAGTAGGAAATGTATCCAAATGTGTCTGTGGCTGAACACAGAATTGATTTTAGCAGTAAAACTAGAAAAATGAGGAGTCCTTCAAGATACTTATTGTCTTTTTTCGTTCTCCTTTCTGATTTCACCCACATTTTCTTCACTATTTAATTTCCATTTTTCTCTGATTAACTTTCATTGTTTTTGTCCTCTTCTTCTTTTTCCCTCTGTTCCTTCTCTCTCCTTTTCCCACACCAGTTTATGTTCCACCCTGCAGATCCAGTCACAGATGGACTCTGCCTACTTCCTGGAATCGGTGGCTGGCAACTTCATGGATGTGGTCCAGTATAACGAAGACAACAGAGGATTTGAGGTGAGGCGGCGTCGGTACAGGTGTAGTTTAGGTGTCTTTGCTTCAATTCCAGCTTCCTCTTCCACCACATATTCATTTACACTTAACCCTAAGCTCTCTCTCAGTCATTATGAATGTGTGCCAAAGCGCTCCAAGTGCTCGATATGACCAGAAAAATGAGTTTGGTTCAGTTATCATTTAAATTACCTGGCTGCTAAGTTTACTTGGAGTATTTTGAATGAGCGTTTTTGCCAAAAGCAGTCAGTCACCACTGTGGAAATTAAAAAAGACCCAGCTTGCTTCATAGTTGCAATCTGTCTGCAATCTGTGCTCCTACCCTTACTTTCTCACTGGACAAATCCCTACATAAAACCTTGCTTTGTGAACTGACTTTCAAACTGGAGACTTTGCTTTAGCTGCTTTTTTGGGGGTGGGGAACTTGGGTGGCATCGATACCAGAGTTTGGCGCTCCAAATGAAATGTCTTCTCACTTCGACACACGGCTGGAAGCAGTCGGTCTATGTTTTGTTTTGGATTCTTGTACATATTTCTTGAGCTCAGGCAGAAATGAATATCATCATTGTGAGCTTCATGCCTGAATAAGCTGAAAATGAAATGTTGTGCAGAGCTTTGCGCAGTTTTGTGAATCATTTTTGAAATTTAGAATATCTTAACATAAATCTCCATTGTATTCATTTGTTGAATTGCAGCTCTTTCGCCCTCAGTAACTGAGACAACTGATTGTTGCGGAAAAGTTGAAAAGGTTAAGACTGTTTGTGAGACTGTGACATTGGAAGGAGGGGGACTTGTCTACAGAGAAGACTTAGCCATAACAAAGTAGCCTTGGTAAAATGTGAAAGCTTTAGTCTAAATAGTCAGCTCACTATTTTTCTTCTCAGTATTCACACGATGTGCTCAAACCTATCCAACATTTTTATGTTATGTAAAAATGAACATTCAGGATGAGCCTTTTTCTCTTAGTGTCTTTTTGTCCTCCTGGTTACTTCTTTCGTCCCTCCTCCCCCCCGTTTTCTCCCCATTCCATCACCTCTCTGTCCCCCTGCTGCTTTGACGGGACGTGAGTCCGGTTACCAATAAGCCGATGTGAAAAAGTAACAAAAGCCTCTTTGGTCTCTCTGGTTTCCTGTCGCCCCAAGCCAAAGAGACGCTTGTAAAAGAACTGAGAGGAGCAGTGGGCCGCAGAGTGCACATCGCTAGCTAACAAGCACAGCCCAGCGTCAACTCTCCACCACAAAGGGCCGGGTGCAGAGCAAGCTACCGGGTTTTAGGTACCGCTGAGGAATGTGTGGAAGAGAGAGGCGTAACTTAATCATCAGAATCGGCCTACCGGCTCCCAAACCGCGGGGTTATCAATGGCGTGCTTTATGAACTGTAGCTTTGAGAATAACCTCCCAACACTTCCTGTTTTTCCTCAGATAATGATGATGATGGGTGAATCACTGGTCATTTTTAGTTTGCAGTGTTTTCAGTTTTGCACACATGCATTACTGTAGTCACTGCCAACTGTTTACTTTTCCAGGTGCCTTGGAGTAAAGGACACTCATTGCTTCAGGCCAGTGTACACCTGGCCGGCCCCTGCCACAGTGCTGGACGGGGAGCCTCTCTGAGGAGCATTACGGCCACTGTGACAGCTGATCGCCATAGTTACCCAGAATCTGCCAACAGCTGACACTTCCCATTGTTAACTTTGTTTTAGTTCTTTCCTGCCAATATGAGTTTTTCAACACTCTTACCACAATAGCTGGCTTGTAATGTTTCGCAACAGAACTCTGACGCAGAAAATATGCCGTAATCAACAGGAAGTGCTTTTCTGTGTAACTTTTAACCTGCAGTTTCAGGAAGATAGTCAATTTCTATTTTCATATTAAAATATCAATGAATCTGTATGCTATATCTGTCTTTCCACAGGGCCCAACCTTTAAATACATTTCCTAAGTTTTGCAATAGCCATAGTTGTGTGAAGTATTTTGGTTCAGATTGAGAAATCCAACAACTTTTGGATTTTTTTTTTTCATCTAACAGGCATAATAAACGTTCAGTTTTTAGTTGTCTTTGCTTCTCCTCAAGAATCACAATAAGATTAGTATTTGGCCAGAACCATCTCTATTGACCATGTTTGTGTGCACATGCAGGACATTTTACTCTGGTTCCACTTTGCTTTCGTTACAGAGGTGTTTAAATACTAATGTATATTCATGTTACAAAAAGAAGGCGACAAGGTTCCTGTTGTGAAGTGCTCAGCTGACCATCCGCGGTTCCTCCTCGAGTCTCATTTCACAGATTAACAGCATTAATACTCTTATTACTACCATTAGTAAAGACACTACAAAAGGCTTAAAAGAAAGTAATCCTATAGCATAATCTCCCTGATTGATTATTGTATATATATATATATATAT